ACAAACAAGAACTTGCTGAAGTATCAAGGTGCGATAAATTAAACGATGAACCCTTTTTGATTGACCATATATCAGGTACCTATGTTGATTTGTTATGCTGCAGGTGGTGGAAAGATTTGGATTTCGTAACAACACTTCCATATGCTAGAGATCGAGTAGTTGAATGCTACTTTTGGGCATTAGGAGTTTATTTTGAGCCTCAATACTCTCAAGCTCGCGTCATGCTTGTTAAAACCATATCAATGATTTCGATTGTGGATGACACCTTTGATGCTTATGGTACAGTTAAAGAACTTGAGGCATACACAGATGCCATACAAAGGTATGAACTTCATCAATTCACTTATTCAGATATTCCTTGATAGTACGTAAATGTCATCGTGAAAAGATTAAGATGAACTTCTACTCATTATAGTTGTGCTCTTTCAAAATGCATCTTTCAAAATGTATGAATTCACCTTAATTTTTCATCCTGCAGATGGGATATCAACGAAATTGATCGCCTTCCTGATTACATGAAAATCAGTTATAAAGCTATTCTAGATCTTTACGAGGATTATGAAAAGGAATTGTCTAGTGCTGGAAGATCTCATATTGTCTGCCATGCAATAGAAAGAGTATGTTTGAGCAACTTAACTATTGAAATATGTTTTTTCCTTATTCCGTTTCTCGTTTTTGTTTTACCTTCTGTACGTCTTTTAGTGATCTTAAACTTATACAATTCAATCAAAATTATCTAACACTTAAACATATATATTTTGTAATCACAGATGAAAGAAGTAGTAAGAAATTATAATGTCGAGTCGACATGGTTTATTGAAGGATATAAGCCACCCGTTTCTGAATACCTAAGCAATGCACTAGCAACTACTACATATTACTATCTCGCGACAACATCGTATTTGGGCATGAAGTCTGATACGGAGCAGGATTTTGAGTGGCTGTCAAAGAATCCTAAAATTCTTGAAGCTAGTGTGATAATATGCCGAGTTATTGACGACACAGCCACATACGAGGTATGAGTTGTATCTCACAAACTTATATAATTATATGTAATTTGGACAAATAAAGTATTGCAAAAATATAAAAGCTAACCCGTAATCTATCTAACTTTCCAGGTTGAGAAAAGTAGGGGACAAATTACAACAGGAATTGAGTGTTGCATGAGAGATTATGGCATATCAACAGAAGAGGCAATGACCAAATTTCAAGAAATGGCTGAGGCGGCATGGAAGGATCTTAATGAAGGACTTCTTAGGCCCACTCCTGTCTCTACAGAGTTTTTATCTCGTATTCTCAATCTTGCACGTATTGTTGAGGTTACATATATACACAATCTAGATGGATACACTCATCCGGAGAAAGTCCTAAAACCACACATTATTGCCCTACTTGTGGATTCTATTGAAGTTTAGACCGCATTTGTTGCTGGTCGACTTCATTCACCTTTGTTGAAAGAATTAAATCTATTTATTTAATTTTATCATGCTGTATAAAGTTGCCAAGCAACTGCCTTTTGCAATGGAGCGATGCACTTCCCATCGGGTTCCTTAATATCCTTGTAAGAAATAATACTACCGGTACATTTTGTTTTTTATTTCAGTTTTTTTCGCACATATTAACTTGAATATATTCTACCCATTGTCCCCAGAAAAGAATTCAATATCGGGATATTAATTTGACGAGCACAACTGCCAAACAAGATGTAAAGCCCTGCAAGTGTTGAATATTATTTTGGTCTAATTTATATCTTAATGACTTCATTAAGGTACCCTGAGAGTAGAAGCACCTACTTGGACTAAATGAAGTGTTTAAAGAGTCAAATTTTGCCAAAAATGAAGCTGGAAAAGATCAAGGTAATCATACGGGATGATATGTGTGATTTTAAGAGCTTCTCTTGGTTTAAGATATGCACTGACTTGGAAATCTAAGCCAAGAATTTGTTATGGAGATATCAGCCACCTGAATTGAGCCACCAGAGAAGGTTAATACAAGCTTGCAATGCATATTATAATGATAGCTACATAATGATTGCAAGGGTGTTCTCTTTCAGGGATCGATATTGTTGGATTTTTTTTATGTATTTAATTAATATATTAAATACTTAAAAGAGGGTGAATGGAAAATGGAGGGAAATGAAATTTTTGAGTGAAATTTTAAGTTTCCCCCCTGGTAAATGGACATTGTCCCATACTGGAAGAGGAAGAGGTTTTGTATGGGTATATAAGCAATTGCTCTTCTTCTAGCTCTTAAAGAGTTGAGAAGAAGGCAAGCCTCGTCGTCGTCGTCGTCGTCGCCGTCGCTCGGCTCGGCTCCGGCTCCGGCTTCGATTGATTGATTAACTTTTCGGACCAAATTTATTTGTTAATAATAAAATATTAATAGAAATATTATTAAATATTTGTTTTAATAACAGAATATTAATATTAAATATTAATATTAAATCCAATCCGTTTTTCTATTTTGGTAACAGAAAATTAATTACCCTCTTCAATTTTCCCTCTTTATTGTTGAGTAAATGGCCATTTATGTAATGGCATTTATGTTGTGGCCGTTTTGCATAAACAGCCATTCTGAAGAGTTGCACCTCTTCAGATTTCAGCCCAACTTTGGCTATAAATACAACACTTTTCTGCTCAGAATTTCACTATAATTTTTTGAGTTTCTTCTCCTTCTTCTGCATACTTTTAGCATCAAACAAAGCAACAGTAAGTGTGATTTGCTACCGAACTTTGTGTTCGCTGAAACACTAGGGTTTGAAGTACCACTACACCAGTGTGTGATTCGTTCTATCCTGAGAGGAAATAATCCATAACCTTGGGTACTAGGAGGAGATTAAATTCCTTAAGGAAACACTGTGATTTCAGTGGGCTCGAATTGGTTTTCTGTTATTTCGTTGTTCATTTCTGTTTATGTTCATTTATATTTCCAGAATTATTTTACAAATACAGTATACTAACAGATATTCCTTGAGTACAGAATGGATGATGTAGCTTTACACCAACAACTTAATCTCTATGTCTCTTTTCTTTTCTTGATACAATGCCTCACCAGTGTTTATCTCTTTTTGTTCTCTTACTAATTACACAGCAGATCTACAATATACTTCGTAAGTATAGAGCCTAACCTCGACGAGGTAGTGAAGAGGCTATGACAGGACACCCACGTAAATAAGTTTGTACAGATAACAATATACGTACAACATAACAACAAATAAGGCTAAAACATGTACAATTGGGAAGGGACATACGAAGGGGTGCAAAAAATACAGTAACTACAACAAGGAATGATAACAAGAAACAGTCAATAAGACTTCAACAGGTAAAACGAATAAACATAATGAATAAAACTGCACGGCATCACCCTTCGTGCTTTTACTCTCAACCTTACTATAAAACAATAACAACGGTATGGCATCACCCTTCGTGCTTTTACTCTCAACCTCACTATAAAACAATAACAACGGCACGGCATCATCGTGCTTTTACTCTCATTTTTATCATGAAACAATAGCTATGGCACGGCATCACCCTTCGTGCATTAACTCTCAAATACGGCACGGCATCACCCTTTATGCATTAACACTCAAATACGGCACGACATCATCCTTCGTGCATTAACACTCAAATACGGCACGACATCACCCTTCGGGCATTAGCACTCTCCCTTACCATATAACAATGAACATATGATAATAGGGAGATAGAATAAACAAGGAAAAACCATACGTCAACAATCGTTCCACAACACCAACTTCAACTTCATAAACAATACTCATTTACCACAGATAGCCCATAAATGTGGAAAGAACGATCAATTTAGTAATTAAATAGTCTAAGCATAGATATCATGATCAAAGAAAATAATAAATTACAAGAAACAAGTCCCTCCCGCATGCTTTAACCCAACAACAACGCATAAGTACTCGTCACCTCACATATACATTGTATCCAACATTTAAACAAGTAACAAATAAGCAAACAAGTCCTAATCCCTCAAGTCAAGGTTAACCACGACACTTACCTCGCTCCAAAGACCAACTCAAAGCTCAACCACGGCTTTGCCTTTCAAACAAGCCTCCGAACCAACAGAATCTAGCAAATTATCAACCAAATGGTTCAACATAAGCCTTATGAACTACCCACGAACGTAAAAGATTCAATTTAGGATTGAAAAAGTCAACAAAAGTTAACTCCCAGGCCCGCTTGGTCCAAACCCGAAATTCGGGCCAAAACTCGATTACCCATTCACCTCCGAGCCCGGTTATGTGATTTGTTTTGAAATCCGACCTCAATTTGAGGTCTAAATTCCAATTTGACAAAGACCCCTAATTATTCCCAAACCCCCAGTTTCCACCATGAAAATCCTAGATTTTAGGTTGAAATCTTATGAAATGCAATGGAAGATTGAAAGAATATAGGTTAGAATCACTTACCAATGAATTGGGGAAGAAGGGCTCTTGGAAAAATTGCCTCTAGGGTATCTAAGTTTGAAAAGTTTAAAGAATGAGAGAAATCACGTGTAACTCAGCTTTTGACAAGGCGCAGATGTCGCAATTGCGACCCGGGTTCGCAATTGCGTACCCCGCAAATGCGAGAAACCCTTCGCAATTGCGAAAGTCCCCCATCTCTGCTATCATCGCATTTGCGATGATTTGTTCGCAAATGCGAACTGTGGTCCTCCGCATTTGCGACCCCTTTGATGCAAATGCGAACCTTGGCTGACCCACCCCTCTTCGCAAATGCGAAGATTTTCTTCGCAATTGCGACCCAAGCAGGAAATTGGGGGTTCTTCGCAATTGCGAATACTGACCTCGCAATTGCGAGGTCAGAGACCTGCACCAGAACCAATGCCCACCAGCATTGTTTTTAAGTCCAAACTCACTCTGTGGCCTATCCAAAACTCACACGAGCCCTTGGGGCTCTAAACCAAACATGCACACGAGTCCAAAAATATCATACAAATTTGATTTCTCGATCAAATCGCCAAAATAACNCATTATTGAACGCCTTGGCATCTCCTACCACTTTGAGAAAGAAATTGATGAGATTTTGGATCAAATTTATAACCAAAACTCAAACTGCGACGATTTGTGCACTTCTGCACTTCAATTTCGATTGCTCAGACAACATGGTTTCAACATCTCTCCTCGTAAGTTCATCATGAAACACGCATTTAGAGTTGTTAAGTTTATTATCCATTTGCCGGAAGGTTAATATTGTGGATTCTTTCTTGAAAACCAGAAACATTCAGCAAATTCCAAGATGAAAATGGCAAATTCAAGGAGTCTCTTGCTAGTGATGTCTTAGGATTGTTGAACTTGTATGAAGCTTCACATGTAAAGACTCATGTTGACGATATCTTAGAAGACGCACTTGCTTTCTCCACTATCCATCTTGAATCTGCAGCTCTACATTTGAAATCTCCACTTAGGGAGCAAGTGACACATGCCCTTGAGCAATGTTTGCACAAGGGCGTACCTAGAGTCGAGACCCGATTCTTCATCTCATCAATCTACGAGAAGGAACAATCAAAAAATGATGTGCTACTTCGATTTGCCAAATTGGATTTCAACTTGCTCCAGATGTTGCACAAACAAGAACTTGCTGAAGTATCAAGGTGCGATAAATTAAAACGATGAACCCTTTTTGATTGACCATATATCAGGTACCTATGTTGATTTGTTATGCTGCAGGTGGTGGAAAGATTTGGATTTCGTAACAACACTTCCATATGCTAGAGATCGAGTAGTTGAATGCTACTTTTGGGCATTAGGAGTTTATTTTGAGCCTCAATACTCTCAAGCTCGCGTCATGCTTGTTAAAACCATATCAATGATTTCGATTGTGGATGACACCTTTGATGCTTATGGTACAGTTAAAGAACTTGAGGCATACACAGATGCCATACAAAGNCAATTGCGAGGTCAGAGACCTGCACCAGAACCAATGCCCACCAGCATTGTTTTTAAGTCCAAACTCACTCTGTGGCCTATCCAAAACTCACACGAGCCCTTGGGGCTCTAAACCAAACATGCACACGAGTCCAAAAATATCATACAAATTTGATTTCTCGATCAAATCGCCAAAATAACACCTAGAACTATGAATCGAACACCAAATCAAAAGAAATTTTCAAGAAAACTTTAGAACTTCTATTTTAACAACCGGACATCTGAATCACGTCAAGCCAACTCCGTTTCTCACCAAATTTGACAGGCAAGTCATAAATATAGTAATGAACCAATACCGAGTCTCGAAACCAAAATGCGGATCCAGTATCAACAAAGTCAAATATTGATCAAACCTTTAGATTCATTAAGCCTTTAAACTTCAAAATTTCGACAAAAAGAGATAACTCGAGCTATGAACCTCCGAATTCGATTCCGGGAATACGCCCAAGTCCCAAATTACAATATGGACCCAAAGAGACCGTCAAAACATGAATTCGGATTCATTTGCTCAAAACGGTGACCAAAGTCAACTCAAATGGATTTTAAAGGCAAATTTTCATACTTTATCAATTTTTAACACAAAAGTCTTCCGGAAAAAGACCTGGACTGCACACGCAAATTGAGAAAGGATAAATGAGGTATTTGAGGTTTCGAAACACGGAATTTAGGTTTAAAACTCTGGATGACCTATCGGGTCATCACAGCATTGGAGTTTATTAGTATTCTTAGCTTGTTCTAAAGTTGCATCAGGAATAAATTGTATTGTTTGAGAACCATAATTTAATAGTGTTCTGTGATTTTAAAAATTAAAGTATGTAAGTTACTCTTTTGTTATTAATACAAAATTCTTTTTTGGTGTATGACTTGTGGTATCAAAGTTATATGAATGGTGGTGGTATTAAATTTTTAGCATCTAAAAGGAAGAAAAAAATGGATTAATTAGAGATAATTTCCCGACATTTCTAAGTATGTGTCGCAAGCATGGGTATGATTTGCCGACATTTTCTTATATGTCGCACCTAGAATGAGCTATAACTCAAAATTGGTGACATTGGATAAGAGTCGTAAATAACTGTCATAGTTTATTTAGCAACCTTATTATAAATGTCGGTTCTTGACACTGAAATTTACGACATTTGATTTAAGTGTCAAATAAATATCGGCAATTCATTTTGTGATATTTATGTGACTTAATTAAAACGACATTTAAAAAATGCCGTCGTATCTTAACTTTCTCGTAGTGCATAATATAATGGCAGAATTAATTATTTAATTAATTAATGCGTCTTTCATATACATGGGATGTGATACATGTTATAAAAACTACATTTATTACAAGTCGGTAAAACCTGAAACATCAGAAAGAGTATACAATATTGAGGTTGACAATGGAACTAAAAACCTGATGCTATTAAATTACTCACGAGAAGGTTGATAAGGAATGGCTTTAAGGTAAAGGTCACCCTTTCTAGCAATAGTTATTCCATCTAATTCAGTCAAGTCCAAGTCACTTGGTTTCATTCCGGTTGGGAGTTTCCAGTCGAAGTGATACAGCAATTGAGCCAATGGCAAGTAAAGGTTAGCTAAACCAAATGACATTTCAGGACAAATTCTCCGTCCACCACCAAAAGGAAGAAATTCAAAATTATTACAAAAAAATCCACAAAACATTGCTCAAATCTCTCTGGCTTAAAGCTTTCTGCATCATCCCAATATTTTGGATCTCTTCCCAATGCCCAAACAATAACCATTACTTTGTTCTTCGCTGGAATAATGTAGCTGTTTATATCTGTATCTTCCCTGCATTCCCTTGGAACCAAAAGTGGAGATGGTGGATGAAGTCTCAAAATTTCTTTAGTAACTAACTTTAAGTATTTAAGCTCATCCACATCATTTTCATCAAATGTTACTTTGTCTTTAAAGGCTTCTCTCACTTCTACTTGAGCTTTTGTGAATACATTTGGATTCTTCATCATTTCGGCCATAGCCCATACAGTTGTTGTTGATGAAGTTTCTGTTCCGACAGCAAACATGTCCTGCAAATTAATAGTGACCAAGTTTACAGCATTATTTATTTTTCTAATAAGAAATTCTCATTTTTGGTATAGAATTAAAAATCTTTTAGCTATGGCAATAGGTATGGGAGTAAGAAAAAGCATATGATTGTAGTAATCAATAGTTCTTACAACAATAACAGCTTTAATATGGTCGTTTGGTAATGGGAAATTGAAGACTAGTATCATTCATAAGTCTTAGTAGGACATCAATTAAATCTTCACCTCTTAATGCTCCATTAGTTTTCCCAGTTGCAAGATTTTGTGATGACCCAAAGGGTCATCTTGTATTTTAGAATACGATTCCGTGTTTTGAGGTCTTCAAAACCTTATTTTATTCCTCCTCAATTTGCGTGCACAGTCCGAGCGTGTATCCGGAAAGCTCTTATGTGAAAAATTGATGAAATAATAAGTTCTGGCCTAAAAAGTTGATTTTTTTTTACTTCGATCAACGTTTTGGGTAAACAGACCTGGACCTGTATTTTGACGGTCCTGGTGGGTCGGTAGTAAAATATGGGACCTGGGCGTATGCCTGGAATCGGATTCGGAGGTCCCAAGCCCGAGTAACGAATTTTTGATGAAAATTGTAAGACTGAAAATCTAATGATTTAAGGAAATTGATTAATGTTTGATCTCGTTGGTATCGGGCCAGTATTTTGGTTTCGAAGCTCGGTATAGATTTAATATAATATTAAGTCATGTCTGTAAAATTTGGTGAGAAACGGAACTGATTTGACGTGATTCGGACCTTTGATTGAGAAAATAGAAGTTTTGAAACTTTCTTGAAAATGTCATGCAATTTAGTGTTAAATTTATGGTTTTAGGTGTTATTTGGCGATTTGATCGAGCGAGCAAGTTCGTATGATGTTTTAAGACTTGTGTGCATGTTTGTTTTGGAGCCCCGAAGGCTCGAGTGAGTTTCGGATAGGCTACAGGTGATATGAAACATAGAAAAAATTGCTGGTATGCTTTAGGTCTGCAGACTTCGCAATTGCGAGCTCTGGCTCGCAAATACGAGCCTCGCATTTGCGAATATTGTTCGCATTTGCAAAGCAGGGGAGGGGACTGGGTAGATTGCATTTGCGAAGAATAGGCTGCATTTGCGGAAGTCCAGGTTCGCATTTGCGACTGGGACTTTGCATTTGCGATGGCAGCAGAAATGCGAGGAGTTTGCATTTGTGATACTTTTCTCTTGCGAAGCTCAGGTCGCAAATGCGACATCTGCAGCTGATAAGTTTAGACTTAGACGGGATTTTTCGTTCATTCTCCCATTTTTCAAAACCTAAACCTTAAGGGGCTATTTTCCAAAGGCTATTTCTTCCCCAAATCATAGGTAAATGATTCTTAACTCACTTCTTTAAATATTTTACTTCTTTTTACAAAATTTCATCCTAGAATCTAGGATTTTTCATGGTGGAATTGGGTATTTTCGGGTAGAACTTAGGAATTTCGAAATTTGGGGATTTAGACCTCAAATTGAGGTTAGATTCCAAAACCAATTGTATATCCGGTCTTGGGGATGAATGGGTAATCAAGTTTTGGTCCAAATTTCGAGTTTTGACCAAGCGGGCCCGGGTCGGTTTTTGACTTTTTGGGGAAAATGTTGGGAAACTCATAATTATGTATTGAAATTGATTTCTTTAATGATAATTGATGTTATTAAGTTAATTATGACTAGATACGAGTGGATTGGAGGTGGAATTTAGAGTAAAAGCGGTAATTGAGCTTTGAGTTGGTCGTTGGATTGAGGTAAGTGTTGTGTCTAACTTTGACTTGAGGGATTAGAAATCCCCGACTTAATTGCTATGTGAAAATCCATGTGTGTGGCGTATAGGTGAGGTGACAAGTACCTATGTGCCGCCAAAATTTTCTGTTTCGCCTGTTCCCTTCCCCATTCCTATTATATTGTTTTACTGTCTTAACTGCTACATGCTTATTGGTTCTTCCATGTTTAATTGCTTCTTGTTAGATCTTGTTTTCTTTATTGAAGGTAGTAACTGTTCCGTAGTTTCATTGTGTTACATTATTGGTTTAAGTTGGTTCATGATGTATCATGGTATATTTTGGTTGGTCTCAATGTGTAGTAGTAATTGATTGAAGTTTCATAAGTGTATAGCCTTCTATTTGTTTTGATTTGAGGCATAAATATTGGGGGGGGGGGGGGGGGGTTTGAGCTGAATTGTGAAATACTTGTTCTTGTTGTGTGATTGGTACTGATATGGTGGGATCGGGTTGCACGCCGCAACAGGAGCAATATGGGTGATATATTGAGGAGGATAAGGGTGAAATGTGATTGTCTGATGGGAACGGGTTGCGCGCCGCAACAAGAGTAATAAGAGTGGATTGGTGGGATCGGGTTGCACGCAGCAACAGGAGGAATAAGGGTGATATATTGAGGAGTAACAAGGGTGGACTGGTGGGATCGGGTTGCACGCCGCAACAGGAATAATAAGGGTGAATGTTCATATTGTTACTGATTATCTAGTGGGATCGGGATGCGCACCGCATCATTTTGTTGTTTATGTATTCTTCTCCTGCTGTGATTTGTTTCTGTAACATTGTAACTCTCTTAAGGATTGGTTATAGCTGAGTACTGGCAAGATAATTGAGTTTCGTATTTACTTTTGCTGCAAGTTACCGTTCCATTTCGTTCCACACTTCCTTTTGCATTATTATATACTGTATGCAGGTCATATTATAAATGCCCCGCCGTAGCCTCGTCACTACCTCATCGAGGTTAGGCTCAGCACTTACCAGTACATGGGTCAGTTGTACTGATACCGCAATCTGCACTTTCTGTGCAGATTTCGGAGCTGGTAGTGGCTGATCGAGAGGTCGGTTGCAGATACTTCGTCTAAGAGACACAAGGTAGTCCTGCTGGTGTCCGCAGGCCCTGGCGTCCCCTCATATGTTTCTATTTTCCTATTTTCTTTTCTTTCGAGACAGATGTAGTTTCTTCCAGACCAGTATTTGTAGTAAATTGTAGTATGTTCGTGGATTGTGACACCAGTTTCTGGGTGGTAATAGTTTCGGTATTGTGAATAGTATGTAGATAACAGGTTAAATATGTACTTCCGCATTTATTTCAGTTTGATTTAGTTTTTGTTAAATTTTAACTTATAAAATGTAAAGGAAAAAGGTGAATAGAACTCTAACGTTGGCTTGCCTAGCGAGTGCGATGTTAGGCGCCATCACGGTCCCGACAGTGAGAATTTCGTGTCG